CTGCTGCCCCCCAATCATGCGAGTGGCCCTCCTCTGGACCCTCTCCATGTTGTCCACATCCATCTTGAAGTGCGGTGCCCAGAACTAGACGCAGTACTCCAGCTGCGGCCTGACCAGTGCCGCATAGAGGGGGAGGATCACCTCTCTGGACCTGCTTGAGATGCATCTGTGGATGCATGACAAGGTGTGGTTGGCCTTCCTGACTGCATCCCCACACTGCCAGCCCATGTTCATCTTGGAGTCAGTGATGACTCCAAGATCCTTTTTCACATCTGTATTGACAAGAAGAGAGTTCCCCAACCTGTAGGTATGGTGCCGGTTGTTCCTCCCCAGGGGCATCACTTTGCATTTGTTGGTGTTCAATTCAAGGTGGCTTCTTCTGGTTTGGATCTGCTACTTCACTTTTGATTGAGTGAGGAAGTGATAATAATGGGTTCCTATAGACGTGCAGGGAGCTGACTCCGATGTACTGATTAATCAAGTCTGCTGGAGCACAGAAATTAACACTCTCCAACAGCCTCCTGCGTCATGTGTGTCAGCATCTCTGAGCTGAAAAATGGTGGTGGGGCACTTTAAACTAAAGCTAGTTTGAGCTTTAGTTCAAAGCTCTGCGCTACCATTTTTCAGTGCTGGGGATGCTGATGCACATGATGTGCGGGCACTTCTAATTAGCGTGGCTCTCTAATTAAAGCACCGCCCTCACTCCCCCTTCCCACATGCCTCCTGGAGCATGTGTAAAAATGCCCAGTATGGCTTAGAGTCAGTAACAGTAATCCACAGTAAGGGACAGAGGCACATAGCATGTGGTAGAGGGGGGATATTTGATTTCAGGAAAACAAATCTTGGGGAAATTAAGAAGCTAATGAGTAAAGATGATATGACATAGTGCAGTATATAAATACAAGAGAAGGCTAGAGAATCCATAAGTGCAGTAGAATGTAATTCTACAGCTAAGCAGATTCAGGCAACAAGGAGACTGTTTTTAAGGATATGGCTCAAAGACCTGAGGGTAAAGGAGGAAACAAGGGAGCCAGCCAAATGGGAAGACACTGGCAGACCCTGGAGGGAAGAAATAAGGACATCCAAAAGGAAGGGTAAATTACTGCTGCTGACTATGGTAAGCATAATAAGAGCTCAAAAACCATTTTGGGGTGAGGAATACTAGACAGCAAACAGGCCCATCAGTAAATTAGATTAAGTCAATTAGTCTGATTAAATTTGTCTCTCTACTGACTGTTATTTCTGAAGAATCATGAATCATTGACATTAAAAGAGAAACACCTGTAGTGCTACTTAGCCCAGAGAGGAATTGGAAGGTGGGGTTTTGTGTGGTTTTTTTTTTTGGGGGGGGGGGCTTAATTATTTTTAGGGGATTTGAAAATGCATATATGGCAGCTTATTTAAAAAAAAAAGAAGAAAGAAAGAGAAAGGACTGATCTCTGCAGTTACCATTCAGCATGCAAAGAAAGCAACAGATGGCATGGTGTGACCCACAGAATCTGTCAGAAGAGGGGAATAGCATCATGAGCAATAAACAGCATTGTAGGTTTTTAAAGAGTAAATCGTGACAAACATGATCACTTTAGGATAGATTTAGCAAAGCTAGTGAATGAGGAGAATTCAGCAGATGTAAATTTCTCTGGTATAGCTTCTCTCAAAACCTCTGAAACTATTGCATGAATTGAAGGCTTATAGAAAGGTCCCTTAAAATAAAGGCCCACAAGTGGTTAAATATCTAGTGAGTCTCTGAGAGTTTCTGCAGGAATTTGGTTTATTTGTGGGTTTTTTTTGTTTTTTTTTTTACTCTGGAAGAGTGTAAACCTGCATGTTACTACAGATGATACTAGGTTGAGAATTTCATCAGCTGCCAGTGATGAGAAAAAGGAAAAGAGATTTAGTGCTTGTCCACATAAGGAAAACCTAACTGTATACTTCAACTGTTACACTGTTATAGTAGTATAATTCTCTGTGTGGACACCCTGATTCCTGAAGAAGTAGTTTTTCTTTTTGGTTCAGTGGGCATTGCTAAGCGCACTCACCTGCCAGGAACTGCTAACGACTTTGAAAAATTACTCAAGATATTTATAATAGTCATGAGATGGGGTTTTGGTCAGGGCTTTTTTTGTTTTGTTTGTTTTTTTTCTTACCAGCTGATGTCCAGTAGAATTCTAGCCATGAAGAGTTGTCATTGTCGCGGTGAGAAGTGGTCAAAATAGAGACAATCTTTTCTGATGTGCTACAGTGTAAGTGGCACAGATGAGCTGAAATGATCAGTAATTGGCAAATATGAAAGATTTAGGTTTGTTAAAAATGTGAGCAGTTTGCTTTGTGACTATTAGTACAACATAGGCTTGGATAACTGCAGAGCTAGGATGAAGAAGAGGCAAAGAAAAATTGCTTTGGTTTTGAATAACTGTTCAACATGGACAAGTTTGGTCCCCAAAACATTAGAAAATGTGAAAGTGGAGGTCTTTCCACCCAACTGTGCCTCTGTATTGCAGCCATTTATAATAGCAAGATAGATAAGTGATCAGGAATGTCAAAACAGTTGTAAATCTCTGAACAACAATGCTCTTCATGCCATTCAAATGGTATGCCTATAGACGAATTTAGCCAATCTGTCATCACCAATTGCTGGCATAAAGTAGCTACACTGCCAAAGGAATCTGCACAATAAGATGATAAACCATCACCAGAACAAGAGCGAGGGTCATGTTCCATGAGCAAACTGGTGTTCCTCGTGGAATGTCACTCTAGATGACATCAGTATTGAAGATGGTAGTCTGGTGACATTTGAGGTGCTTGACTGTTCCATTGTTGATAAAATTATTGATGTAAAAATGCGGAATGGGGTAGAAGCAGCAGATGAAACATCAGAAAGTAAACATGCATTCTGTTTAATAGACACTAAGAAATGTCTCCCAGATAACATCTTGAAGTATGCAGACACAGTCCAACATTACTTAGAAGGAATTGCATGTACAAGTAGCATCAATCCTGCAGGTGGTGATAATCAGTTTCATATATTGAATCGGGATTGTACATTACATCAGGGTTGTTTAGTTGGCCCCTGGGCTCCTGGATCAATCATTGCTCCTGCCTTTCCTTTTTACTGCTGTCACTGGAGTCCCTGTGCTGCTCCTCCTTCCTCCAGCTTCTGCTGCCTTCCACCCCTGGGGGTAGGGAGGAGCAGCTCTATCTGTGGGACCTAGGGAACCCATGACCAGAAGGCTCTGGGGACCCTGCATGGTATCAATGCTGATGTGTTACAGCAGGAGTTGCCTGCTTTGCAGTGGAGGTTGAGGGTGGTGCATGAAAGGCAGAGAGGGCCTGCATGACAGTGCAACTACACATGTAGAATGCCTTCATAGCACAGCAAGTCCATGCAAGCAGGGGCCCATGTGGTGCAGCACTGGTTTGCTCACATGTCAGGGGCCAGTGTGGTGTGGCCAGGGTACACAGGGGGACCCGTGCAGTATGTTGTGGGGGGGAGAAGGGGAGGGAGGGAGAGCAGGGTTCATGCCTTGGCACATGGCCCACACAGTTGGTGACTTGGC